AGGACGACGACATGATCGAACGCGACTCGCGCGGCATCGTCGTGCTCGTGGGTACCTCCCGGTACAGCGAAGCCGTGCTCTAAGCCCAACATGCGCCTTTGCTCCATCTGTCCGTCGTCCGTCCGTCGTCGTCGTCGTTGTTGTGTGTGTTGAAATTGTATATGTGTGTGTATTCTACGAGCTGTGCGTACCGGTCTGCACAACAGAACAGAAGCGGGACCCTTCACAAATACTAGTACAGAAGACCAATACAGACCGACACGGCGCTGTGGACCGAAGAGGATCCACGATATCGGTCTATAAAATGCTCTTGTGAACGATGGTTGTCGCATGACGACACACAGCTACAGCTACCGGTAGGACAGCACTTTTGTACAGCCAAGGGCAATCTGAAAGAGCAGTGCATACGGATCAAGAAACGGCCGATATAGGTCGTCGCAACTTTTTCCCGTGTAGGGCCGTTTCCAAGAAGTGGAAGAGGTTTTCCGCGCAAGGCCGAGCGATCCAGAAAACCAAGATCTAGAAGCACATACGTGACAAGATCCAAGGCGCAGAGCAAGCGAGCTCAAGCCATTTCCAAATTGGTAGTGTCAATCAAACAACTAACCCGCCTCGCCCACCACAGGCATGGCGGACACCAACACGGTTGTTGCCCCCAAGTAGTTCGGTCTTGATTGAGGAATACTAATAGAGGAAACGTCTGTGAGAGGGCCATTGATTTGCTACTCAGCCGGCGAGTTCCGAGTGTTTTGTTCCGGCGTGGGCGGTGCAAAGGACGCCACGTGTACAAGGCAGTCTTAGGTGCATTTCATGAACCACATACGTACTATCTGCATCCCATTGCGGAGCTCAAAGGAGGCCGTCTGTCCTGACTCTGGTTTCAACCGACTACGACGAGCCATCCCAAAACAGCTAAATCGCGTGCTTCCGTTCTCCAAGTGCCCAGAGCATGGCACTGGACAAAGGCTGGGGACACCCCGTTGATTGCTGCTTCTGCGCTGCAATGTAAAAGCATGAAGGCAAGAGCAAGCGCATCATTGCATTGAAGCCGACGTGACCTGCAAGATGGGGAGGTAGGTATCTTTCTTTTGCCCGCGAACGATCTCATGAGCAGCACTAGGACGGCGTCAGCAAGGTGCAGAGCTCGCTACATCGCGCACACTGGAAGCTTTGCCTGCTCTGCTTGAGGCAAGTACCACACGGCGCAATCAACCGTCAAGTGCCCCTCCAAGTGCAAGGTGGCGCGAAGAACCACAATGGACTAGGATACCGTTCTTCCGTCCGTCGCGGCTTCGAATCCCACTGGCGACTGACCGGTTCACTGGACCGAAATGTCAATGGCATCACGGAAGCTTTTCCATCTCAACGTTTTTCGAAAATCAATCGGGTTGGTCGGCAGAGATGAAAGATGCTTCTGCTCTGCTCGTCCACTACGTTGCATTGAGCGTCAGGAGCGAGGTCGCCCTACATACTATCATAGCAAAGTACCGACGACTGGTATCTACGGACCCATCCAACCCTCTGTCGATCGTCACTGCTGGTGGTACAGAACGCTGCGATAGACCGCGCGTCGCGAACTCGACTTGCGAATCGGCCAAGCGCGGTCAGTCGTTGACCAAGCCTGTGGTGCCTATCAGCCACTAAGGCCTGCATCTCGTCGCATTATCCGGACAATCCACCTTATATCCGGACACCTGCGACAACCACACGCGACTGTATTCGGCTATATCTCGATCGTTAGTGATGCCTTGTGCATTCGACTTGCATAGATAGCTTTCTCCAAAGATGTCACTTCTTTCTATAAAGTCCTTTTCGCCATAGCCCCGCAGACGACAAAGCCATTCGCGGTCAATGGAACCCTTCCCCGACGACCACTCTGCGGTAGCTCGACCCGATGGCGCACCTGGCACATGGTTTCCAGTCGACGGTCGTTGGGCCGATCGCCGTTCCTGCTGCCATTGACGACAGTAGATTGGAAAAAAGAAAATGCAAAAATGAAAAATGTAAAAATGGAGCGTGAAGCAGGGCTCGAAGTGGTCTCGATCTCGTTCGATCGGCAGTACTAGTAGTGGGAACCATGACGGAATCGTTATCGCTCTAGCGTTCGATCGACCGAAGGGTATGCGCGCGTTCTTTGGTGCGACTTGCGACGCCCACACGTTCGGGCAAGCAACTGCGATATCACATCTCCGATGCTCGCTGCGCCACGTCATTGGCTCCTCGCATCGTTACTTATGGCTACGATCACCCAAGAGCTGCCGCGTGGGTTCGAAGCCGCCACCTGGTGCTTTGGCGAGCCCACGCCTCGCATGCCATTCACGTATTTGCGGCAGCATGAACATTCGGAAC